ATGCGCCAGGTGAACATCGTGGGCACCAGCCCTCCCAGCCAGCCTTCTAGAAAGATCCAGACCCTCCAGGCGCCCCCCGACATGGCCCCGGCCAACGTGACCCTGCGCACGGCCAGTGAGACCAGCCTGTGGCTCCGCTGGACGGTGAGGCTCCCCAAGGGCAGCGGGCAGGACGTCTCCTCCATCCTTATCACCTGCCATTGCCTCCAAGGGGCCACAGCAAAGGGGGTGTCCCCCAAAGTACCTACAGCTCCCTTTTCTCTCTCCCACCTCCAGCCTGGAAGGGTGCCTGATCAGCCATCATAGCAAGTGTATTGAGCATTGCCCTGTGCCAAGCATTTTTGCATTTTTAATTCCATTTAATCCTCCCAGAAATCCCGCAAAGGACACATTATCAGTCCAATTTGCAGTTAAAAAAAAAAACAGAGGCTCAGAGAGGTTAGGAGTTCACCCACAGCCACACAGCTCCCAGGGGTGGGTCTGGGATTCAGATGTCAGGTAAGGGCTGCTTCTGAGTTTGAGGGGGAGGGTTCGGCTCTCAGGCTGTCCCCACAGATCAGGGTTACCCCTACCCCAGGTGACCCTGCAGGAGGAAACCATGCTAACGTGCTGAGGGCATTCCCTCCCGCCAGGAACTGTTCTGGATGCTTTATTCAAAGTCCGGCTTTGAGCCCTGTCCGCAGCCTGGTAGGGGAGTCTGGTCCCCAAAACTCAGAGCCCTCAGGACCTTCCAAGGGCTCAAAAGCTGGAGCTGTGGTTCTGTTTGAGCTCATGTCCCGGCAGGGAAGGGACATGCGCACACGGCCGCCCCCAATGGCTGTACAATGGTCTCTGGTCTGTTCCACTGGGTGTGCAGGAGCGGGCCTGGCAGGAGGGAAGATGTGGGGAGTGAGGCCGGGGAATGGGAGAAGGTGGCTTAGGTTGTGGGGAGCCCGTGGGAATGCAGAAGGGGGGGTGAGGGCTGAAGGCTCCCCAGCTCATCTCTGCCAGCCTCAGAGGGGAATTTGAAGGGTGGCCCTGGGCGGACACCTGCTTCTGATCCCCGGCTACCCCAACGTGCATACACCTCTACTGCGTGTCAGCATTGCCCGAGTTTATCCAAACGACCTGGAGCCAGAGACCACAGTCCCACCAGCCAGGGCGTAGGCCCAGGAAAGGAATACATCTCTCCCCTTCACTGAGACGCAAACGAGAAGAAAGGGACTGAAATACAGCAGGAGAGACCGAGGGTTGCTGGGCAGAAGGACTTCCTAACAGTGACTGGTGCCCGTCCACACGCGGGATGCGGTCTCCAGGGCAGGCATGAGCTAGGCCAGGCCTGTTGTAGGCAATAAGTAAGTGCACGTGGGCAGCCTGGGTGAGGGAGCCAAGTGGTAGAGACAGCCAGGGCCAACGGGGCCTTGCTCATCTGTGTGTGGGGCAGACAGCCTTGGTGGGCCTGCCTCCCGGGTCTGCCTCCCTTAGCACAATGAAGAATGGGTGCTGCCTCTCCTTGGAGCCTGGCGCGGAGAGATAGGGAGACGGGGGCCGTCAGAAGCGCAGTTTCACCATCTCAGGGCGGTGGGTGGAGTAATCCTGGAGCTCCCTGGAAGAGGAGGCACAGGCAGTGCTTTGTACCCAGGGTGGGCCTGGCCTCACAGCTGTCCTGCCCCACCCCTGCTCTCCTGCAGCCCCTCCCGGAGATGGAATACAACGGGAACCCCGAGTCGGTGGGCTACAAGATTAAATACAGCCGGGCAGATGGCCACGGCAGGGTGCTGAGCCACGTGGTCCTGGACCGTGTGGAGCGGGAGTACACCATCGAGGACCTGGAGGAGTGGACGGAGTACCGCGTCCAGGTCCAGGCCTTCAACGCCATCGGGAACGGGCCCTGGAGCCAGGTGGTGATGGGCAGGACGCGGGAGTCAGGTACCGCCCCCTCGAGCCAGCCACCCCGTGGCTTCCTAGGGTCTGTGGCCGGGACACCCCCACCTTTGTCTCTCTGCCCTCAGGTCTGCCCAAGGGCACAAACCTGGAGCAGTGGTTCTATTTGTGTTCACGTCCCAGCAGAGCCCTGCATATCTCCTGTCTCTTGGCTATTCCCGCTGCTCACGCTGTGCCCACTGTCCCCCACTCTGTGCCCTCACCTTGAACTCTGGCACCAGGGTGCCTGAAAGAGCCTTAGGGGGTGGAGTGGGGTCTGGGGAAAAAAATGGGGCACAGACCCCAAATAGAATAGGGGTTGGCTTATATCCCAGAACATTCCAGAAACACAACCAGCAGCTCACAGGGGCCTGGCAGGGGGTCACTCAGAGAATCTGAGCCCCCAGCCTGCAGGCCACCTTGTTTGTCCACGTGTGGTTTCCTCCCTGTGGCTTTGTCCTGGCACCTTGGAAATGACAGGTCCCTCCCACCCCGGCCCCTGCCCGCCCTCCCTGCTGTGCTGGAAGGAAATGCAGGCTCATCCCACCGTTAGCCTGAGCAGAGGAGGGGCAGCTGACCTGAAGAAACAGCATCTGTGACGGGCCACAGCCAGAAGGAATCATGGAGGGAAATTCTCTCCTTGGGGACTGAGCCCCGTTTTCTCCCCGGGCCCCACTCCCCTCCTGTCCACCGTAGGGTCCTGTTTAGGTCCTGACGCCATCCTCCTCGCCCCCTTTCTCCCTCAGTCCCGTCCTCGGGCCCCACCAACGTGTCTGCGCTGGCCACCACCTCCAGCAGCATGCTGGTGCGCTGGAGCCCGGTCCCCGAGGCCGAGCGCAACGGGCTCCTGCTGGGCTACAAGGTGAGTCCCGCTCCGGGGTCGGGAGGAGGCCGAGGCTCTCACCCGGCTTCCCCATCCACGGTGCCCTGCCCCCTGGGGCTCAGTCTCTGCCTCCAGAGTGGGCACAAGGGATCTGTCTGGCTTCTCATCCACCGGTCGCCATGGCAACCAGAGTCCTCCCTTAGGGGTTGGGCGGGGGGGCGGTTTCCAGGGAAGGCATGGGGTCCTTGGGGCTGCTCTGCCTCCCCCAGGAGGCCACACTGGGAGCCCCAAGCCTCACTCTCAGCTCCGATGGGCGCAGCGTCAGTTTCTATCACCTTCTAGAATCCCTCCCCAAAGCCGTACCTACCTGCCTAGTCCAGCCCTGGCCTAGAAGTCGGGAGATGTGCCTTCAGGTCCCGGCTCTGCCACTACTGGCTGTGTGACCTTGAGCAAGTCACACGCCCTCTCTGGGCCTGTTTTCCTACCTGGGTGCTCTCTAAGGAAACTCCCAGCTCCCTGGCTGAGTGCGTCTTTGGGTCCCTGCCCCCCCCCCCCCAGTTCCCCACGCTTCCCTGAGGCCAAGTCACTGCAAGGAGCCCAAGTCTACCTGCTCCATCCGCCCCTCGGCCCGTGGGCAGGGGACTTAGGAGACGGGCTGGCAGGGCAGAGGCAGGCCGCGGCGAGGTCCTCACCCGGCGCTGGGCTCCGGCAGGTGCTGTACAGGGAGAAGGACTCGGACCCCCAGCCCCGGGTCTGGCTGGTGGAAGGGAACGCGTCCCTCAGCGTCCAGCTCACGGGCCTGGGCAAGTACGTGCTCTACGAGGTCCAGGTGCTGGCCTTCACGCGCATCGGGGACGGCAGCCCCAGCCGCCCCCCGGTCCTGGAGCGGACGCTGGATGACGGTGAGTGCCGTCCCTGCCCCGCCCCGCCCCTCTGGGTCACCCTCTGTTCCTGGGAGAAGCCGGTCGCTGGGGGTCACCACCCCCTGGGGGGGAGGCTGATTACAGAGTGCGCCTCTGTAAGGACGGAAGGACCACACAGGGGCAGTTTGACATCTGATCTCTCTCTCTCTCTCTCTCTCTCTCTCTCTCTCTCTCTCTCTCTCTCTCTGGGACAAATGTCCAGAATAGACACTTTGCACCTGTTTTGACGTCCCGTTCACCTGGGGCAGGTTCGCCTTTGAGTTGAGGTCTGTGGGAGGGAAGGGCTTGATTTTCCCTGGGCACAAGCCCCCTGGTCCTGTGTGCACAAGAGAGATGCCAACGGGGCTGCGGGCATTCGTCCCTGCGGCAAAGGCGGACGGTCAGGTCCTCTGCCCGCTCCCTCTCCCCACACACGTACTCACAGACCACCCCCCACAGACATCTGTGGGGTCCAGACAGCAATGCAAGAGGAAACCCAAACACCCTATGTCCATAGAGTCTGAAGTTATAAATCAAGCTAATGAGCTGTTAAATTGAATACGTCCTGTCCTCCTACCTTGACAAATATATCCTCATATGACCTGGGAGGCCAAGTTCAAGTTTAGAAACCTCAGACTTCTGGGCGTACTGAGGCATCACATGAGGAGTGCCACCACCACCCGCCCCTCCCCCAGGGCTTCTCCTTCCTCTCCTCCAGTCCATGCCATTCCGTCCCCCACCCGCACGCACCAAAGAGCCACCCCTCCCTCCAGAGGTGCACGTCTGCAGGGGTGGGCCTGGGAGGCAGGCCTGTGCAGACCCTGGGAGCAGGCTTGGGCCTGTCTGGGCAGAGGATTCCAGGTCTAGAAAGAGGAGTGGTGTGGGCTCAGGGTGGCCATGTCCCCTTCCGCCTTCCCCCAGCCACTTCACCCCATGGGGGCAGGAAGTCAGAGTGGCACCTTCTAAAGCACAAACCTGCCTGACCAGCGTGGCTCAGCATTGACCTAGGAACCAGGAGACCACAGCTCGATTCCCGATCAGGGCTCATGCCCGGATTGCTGGCTTGATCCCTAGTAGGGGGCGTGCAGGAGGCAGCCGATGGATGATTCTCATAATTGATGTTTCTCTCTCTCTCCCTCTCCCTTCCTCTCTGAAATCAATAAAAATATATATTTAAAATAATAATAATAAAGCACAGACCTCCTTGCCCAGCGCTGAGGGCATGGACCTAATGTGTGCACATGTGCACAGACCAAGCTAAAGGTCCCTCCTCGTTCCTGCCAGTCATGCCCATGTTGAGGGCAGAGACCTCCGATAGCATCTTCGTGTGCGGACACTGTGTTAGGACACGGTGCCGGCACAGAGCAGCGCCCCATGGATTTTGTTCAGCTGCGTGCCCCCCACCACGCTGCTCTGCCAGAGCTGACCTGGCTCAGGGCTGGGGAGCAGCTTCGCTCACTGTCACCTGCTTCTTCTTTGTCCCCCCAGTCCCGGGACCACCCATGGGCATCCTCTTCCCAGAGGTGAGGACCACGTCGGTGCGGCTGATCTGGCAGCCCCCCGCTGCCCCCAACGGCATCATTCTCGGTAAGCCTTTCCCCTTCCCGTGCCCCGGCCACAGGAAGGAGGAGGCATAAGGTGTAAAGGAGGCACATCCGGTGTTGGCGGGAGGAAAACCAGCCAGGAGGTGCCCCCATCTCATCCCCTCAAGAACAGGTCTGGATCATGTTTCTCCCACCAGAAAGCTCAGTCTGTAAAATTAGCAGCTGGAGCCCTGACCGGTTTGGCTCAGTGGATAGAGCGTCGGCCTGTGGACTCAAGGGTCCCGGGTTCGAGTCCGGTTAAGGGCATGTACCTGGGTTGCGGGCACATCCCCAGTGGGGGGCGTGCAGGAGGCAGCTGATCGATGTTTCTAACTCTATCCCTCTCCCTTCCTCTCTGTAAAAAATCAATAAAATATATTTTTAAAAAAAGATTAGCAGCTGGAGGGCAAGGTCAAGGTCGGGGCTCACCGGTTAACTTTGTTCCCCCAAGAGTCCCAGGTCCCCAGTGTAGGGGCCACCTGGAAAACCTCAGCCGCTGTTCCCATGTATGACCAGGTGGGGGCGCCCTGGCTGGCTCAGCAAAGCCATGCTCACAGGAGCTAACCCCCGCCCCCAGCGGGGTCGGGGGCGTGCAGATCAGATGCATCAGGGCCTCAGAAGGCAGACTGGAGACGGGGAAAGGCAGGTGCACTGGACTTGGAGTGACCTGGTTTGGAATTGCAGCTCAGTCACTTCCTAGCAGGTGGCCTGGCCTCTCTGAGCCTCCCTTGCCTCACCTGAGGCTGTTAAGTGGGTCACAGACACTGTGGACAGTGCCCCTGTCCATGCCCCTCCCCTGCTGGCACACTCCCCACAGGCAGCTGAGGACACAAGAGTGACCAAGAGGGCTTCCTGCAGACGGACCACAGCCAAGGTGGTCCCCTGCAGACGTTGGGGTGGCCGAGGAAGGAATGACCCTTTCTTGGGGATCTGGGGGACCGCGTGTCCTGCTTTTTAGCTCAGCCCATGTCCTTCCTCTCCCTTCCCCCCCCCCCCCAGCTTACCAGATCACACACCGGCTCAACGCCACCACCGCCAACACGGCCTCCGTGGAAGTGCTGGCACCCAGCGCCCGCCAGTACACGGCCACCGGCCTCAAGCCCGAGTCGGTCTACCTGTTCCGCATCACCGCCCAGACCCGCAAGGGCTGGGGCGAGGCCGCCGAGGCCCTGGTGGTGACCACCGAGAAGAGAGGTGACTGCCCATGGGGCTGGGGAGGCCTGAAGGGCAGCTGAAGGCCCCGCCCCCACCCACCCAGGTGTTCAGACCCTCTCCCCATGGACGGCTGGGCTCAGCTGGCCAGGGTCACCTTGCGCTGGCCTGGGATGGAAAGTGGGCTCACGTGCCTGACTGCCTAAGAGAGCTCGGGACCCCCAAGGCCTGGCCCCTGTTGGTCCCACGTAACAGACCTTCTTTCTGAGCCTTGATGTTCCCATCTGTGCAATGGATCAGCACCCCTGCCCCGAGCAGAGATGGCGAGGCAAGGCCGTCAGGGATGACTCTGAATAGCTCTCTCAGAATCCAGGGCTGGGCTGGGAGTTCCCCTGAAAGGGGCCTGCTCCGCCCCAGCTGCCACCGGCCAGGAGCCACACAGGTGCTGGCTGTCGGGTGGGGCAGGGGGGCAGGCCTGAGCCCAGAGCACCTCCTTTCCCCACTTGAGAAGTTGCTCCTCCGCCCCCCCCCCACCCCCGCCCGCCGGCTCACCGGCTTCTCCGGCCCCCCGCAGACCGCCCGCAGCCGCCCAGCAAGCCCGTGGTGCGGCAGGAGGACGTGAAGGCGCGCAGCGTGTTGCTGTCCTGGGAGCCGGGCAGCGACGGGCTGTCCCCCGTGCGCTACTACTCCGTCCAGACCCGCGAGCTGCCCAGCGGCAGGTGGGCGCTGCACTCGGCCTCCGTGAGCCACAACGCCTCGGCCTGCGTGGTGGACAGGTGAGTCTCCCCCATCTCCGCCCCACGCCTCCAGCCTGGACCGCCGTGCAGTGCCCCGAGGGGGGCTCTCTCTGCCCCCCAGACCTCTCTCCAGCACGCTCAGCCCCGCAGCTCTGGCCTAACCGCCCTCCTCTCTCTGGGGCCTGTTACAGCGGCCTCTTCATTATCCATTTCCGGAGCCTAGAAGCCCCGCAGCGAGGTGCGCTCCATCCTTCATTAGCGGTTTCTCCCAGCCAGGCAGCTCCTCCAGCCTCATCTTTAATAGGGAGCTTCACTCCACTCCGCGACTCTGGCTTCAATAGCATTCCTAGTGGGTCGTATTTTTTACGCTCCAGTTGTCGTGACCGGGAGTTTTGAGCGATACTTTCCTCCCAGTAAATCAAAAAGGAAGCCGTTTGCCTGGAGAGGAAGTGAGGCTGATAGAGATGAAGTGTGGTTAACTCTTGAGAGCCGCGGCCCTTCCTAAATTCACTGAATTCGGGAAAGGGGTGGCAGTTCCTGGAGGGGGATCTGCTGTGTTCCTCCTTCGAGGCAAGAAATATGCAGATGGTCCCTCCTGGGGACCATCCCCCCTGAGGACCATCCCCCTGGGGACCTATGGCTTATAATGGAGCTAAAGGTGTGGCCGCACCCCAAGCTGGCATGGTCTAGGGATCAGCCTGGGAGCTCAGGGCCTGGCCCCTGTTTGTCCCATGTAACAGACCTTCTTTCTGAGCCTCAGTGTTCCCATCTGTGCAATGGATCCACAACCCTGCCCCTTGCCCCGTGCAGAGATGACGAGGCAAGGCAATTAGGGAACCTCCATTCACTGAGCCCGGTTCCCCTACAGGCTCAAGCCCTTCACGTCCTACAAGTTCCGAGTGAAGGCGACCAATGACATCGGGGACAGTGAGTTCAGCGAGGAGTCGGAACCGCTGACCACCCTGCAGGCCGGTCAGTGCCCCCACCCTTGGGTGTCTTTCTCTTGGTCCACTGGGTACCTCCTGAGCACTAGGTGACCTCTTTGGGGGGGGAGGGGCCTGCTGGGCCAGAGGGGGCCTTGGCCTTGGGCTCAGCACCCACAGCCAGCCTGGCTCCTAGTGCATTTCTTCTCTGATAGCTCTCAAGCTGGTGGCCAACCCCGGAAAACCAGTGAATGGGAGTGGGGGGGCCTCAGGGGCAGGGGCAGAGGCCTGTGGCTTTCTGAACAGAGAGGAGGGGGCACTGTGGTCAAGGTCCCCGCCTCTCTCTCCCTTCACCCTGGCCCTCTGCTCTGCAGAAGTTGGGGTGGTGGGTGACCTGAGGCGGAGCTGCCCACAGTTCAATGTCCTCCCAGGGGGCCTCAGTCCCAGCCCCCAAAGCTCACCTGTCTGCCTCTCTCCCCAGCCCCCGACGAAGCGCCCACCATCGTCTCGGTGACACCCCACACCACCACCTCCGTGCTGATCCGATGGCAGGTGAGGCCCAGCAGCAGGGAGGGGCCGGGCACCAACCTCAGCCCACCTGCAGCCCCCCTGAAGGGAAAGTCCTTAAAGAGAAAACCGGGTGGGACCCCCAAGCCCTCCCCCAGCCCAAGGCTACATCCCTCAAATGACCTAAATGGGGCCACGGTGGTGAAGGGGCTGGGAGGTGCCAGCAGCCGCTAGGGATGCAATTAAGGATCAAATAAAGGGCTGAGTGGTTTCAGCAGGATTTTTAAGAGAGGTGTCATAAAAAGTAGCTTTCCCCGTCTCCTGAAGCTTGTTCTGCTCAGCTGTGGACGAGAGCAGAAAGCAAAGGAGACACGATCGAGGTTCGGGGAGGGAGGGGAGAAGGGAGGGTGGGGGTACATCTGCCCTTGTTCTGGGCTATCAGGAAACTCCAGGCAGAGGGACCAGCAGGCTGAGGGTGGCTAGTGACCATGTCAGGCAGCTCCTAGGCAAGGTCCAGCTCTATGAGAAGATCCAGATCAGGCTGGGCCCCAGTGATGCTGTGTGGCCGTGGGCAAGTTCCTTAACCTCTCTGAGCCTTGCCTTTCTGCTCCGTTAGGTGGGATGGCACGGTGATTCCTGCCCTTCCTTGCCTCGTAGGGCCTGCTGCGAGGAAGAAATAGCCGTGTTGGAAATGCCTTGTGAATTAAAAAGGCTCAGTGTCATTTTGACTCCTTTTCCTGGTTGAGACTCAGTCTCTGCTCTGAGGCGGGGCAGGGAGGGAGGATTAGAGTGGAGGAGGGTGAGCTGCATGGTCCCGGCCCCTCTCCATTCCCCACTCCCTTCCCTGCAGCCACCAGCCGAGGACAAGATCAATGGCATCCTCCTGGGCTTCCGGATCCGGTACCGCGAGCTGCTGTACGAGGGTCTGAGGGGCTTCACGCTTCGTGGCATCAACAACCCGGGGGCCAGGTGGACAGAGCTGACCTGTGAGTGACACTGCGGGACTGGGGGGGGGGGCAGGGGGGTGCAGGCTCGCCTGCCTAAAGCTCTCAGCTTCCTGGAATCTCTCTAACCCGAAACCCTGCCATCCACCCCCATGTGTGCCTCTCACCCCTGTGCCCTTCGGTCACTGAGCGAGTCTTTATTGAGTACCTTCTCTGTGCCCTGGACACCGTGGACAAAGCAGACAGGGTCCCTGCCCTCTCAGAGCTCCAAGGCTGGGGAGGACGTAGCCCCCGAGAGCCTAGGCCGGTGTGGGAAAAGGCTGCCCAGGGGGACGGACACTGATGGAGGATTCCATGGCAACCAGTCCAATGGGACAGGGAGAGCCCAGCATGTGCAAAGGGCCTGAGGTGGGGGAGGAGGACCAAAAGCCCAGCCTGGTCACCGCCCAAGGGTAGCAGCCCGGCCCCCTCCGGGTCCAGGGAGGTCACTGTTCTGCTCTGGGCTCCTCAGAACCCAGCCTGCCTCTAGGGAAGGGGGACTCCCAGGGAGAGTCACGAGGGAATGACCTGTTGCATTTGGGGGCGAGGAGGGTTGCGTTGGTGGCATGCTGGCTGGCCATGGGGTCCAGAGGCAGGGCGGCCAGTAGGAGGCTAATGCAGGAGCATGGGCAGGAGCGTGCGGTTGGGGCCAGGGTGGCCGGCTCAGGATGGGACTGAGGGCCGGTATCGGAGATGACATGCCATGGGCTCCATGGCGGACTCAGGTCGGGGACAGGGACAGGAACAGGTGGGAGAGGGAGGAGTCCAGAGGATTTGGGTGCCCAGGTGGGAGGTGGGACCATTCACCAAAACAGAGGCTAGCAGGAGGGGCAGAGCCGTTTAAGATCCTCTCCGCTGTGAATTTTCCCCCCGTAATTCCCCTGAGCCTTTCCGGCCTTGTCTCCGAGCGAGGATTCGCAGACAACGCAGTGATGGACCGCGCAGCTCAGGCGCCTTAATAGAAAACCTCGGAAGTAGCAGATCCGGGGCCTGCGTTGTTTGTTTATTTTGCTGGTGGTTTTTCTATTGCCTGTGATTCATAGTCATGTTTCCTGGTAGGAAATAGTTCCTGGTTCCTTTGAGGAAATTAACAACCACTGCTTGATGGTGGTTTGCAGGAGCGGAGGCCAGGGAATGAGCTGGGGCAAGAGGGTTCCCCCAGCATGTCCCCAGGGATGCTGGGCCCAGGGGGCTCAGGGTACCCCGTGACCTCAGACCAGCGCACACTGGGGCAGGGAAGCACTGGCGCCTAGCTCAGCCTCAGGAACCCCTCCCCTCTCTCTGTCCTGCCCCCCGCATTGGGGTCTTCGTGGAGGGGCGTGTGTACTAACCTCCGCTGTCTGCTGTCTCCCTCCGGCCCCTCCCTCCGCCTCCCCAACCGGTAGCCTTGTTCTCCATGCGGAACCTGAGCCGGCCCAGCCTCACGCAGTACGAGCTGGACAGTAAGTCTTGCATGGCGGCTCCGTCTGGGGCCCACGCCCTCCGCAGGGATGGGGAGCGGGGCCTCTGAGGACGCCTGGCCGCAGGCGAGTGGCGCGCCCACCTCGGGCTACTGCAAGAACGGGACCCCCCTTCGCACGTGCGAGTTTCCCACAACACACGGAGACGCAGGGCCCCCAGGGAAGCTGTCCTCCAGGCCTCTGTCCGTGGGGTGCGGCACGGAAAAGCAGCCAGCTCTGGTCTGTGTGCTGGGCTGGGGGACGGTGGGGCCATCATGGGAGCTATTGGCTCGGCTGGTTGGCCACACAGGTGTCCATGTCACCGCCGCCCCAGCTGGCCCAGCAAAGGCACCTGCAGCTGGGCTCTGTCTTCTGGCCCAGACCCAGCCGTGGAGGGAGCAGGGCCCCCCCCTTCCCTCCAGGGACCAGGAAACCTTGCTGCCTGCGCAGGGCCCGCCCTTGTCCTGTTTCTCAAGTCCCAGCTGTGGTTCCCCGAAGTCCCGGGGCCTTGGACAAGGGACCCCCACTCTGTAGGACTGAACTGTCCCTCTCCTTCCTTCCTCAACCGGTGGCTGCACAGCCTGCTCCCCACTCTCACTCCAGAAGGGAGAATGTGCACCCAGAAAGGGAGATGGGGAGTCAGCCGCACCCCCGGCAGGGGCAGCATCCCCAACCAGGATGTCAGAGCCCATTTGCTGCTTCTCTCCCAGCCACTGTCCAGGCATCTCACCCAGGTGCCCCAAACCCGGGGAAAACGCAGGGTTTCTTAGCCCAGAGTTCACGTCCAATAAGCCCCTTCCCTTAGGGCTGAGCCCCCTGTCAGGAGCTGGTGCTGGAAACTTTTAGCATCTGCCATGTGGAGCAGGAGTGACCCATGACCCGGTGTGGCCAGGACAGGCAAGGGAGTGACCTGTGACCCAGGACAGGCAGGGGAGTGACTATGACCCAGGACAGGCAGGGGAGTGACCTGTGACCCAGGACAGTCAGGGGAGTGACCTGTGACCCAGGACAGGCAGGGGAGTGACCTGTGACCCAGGACAGGCAGGGGAGTGGCCTGTGACTCAGGACAGGCAGGGGAGTGACCTGTGACCCAGGACAGGCAGGGGAGGACCTGTGACCCAGGACAGGCAGGGGAGGACCTGTGACCCAGGACAGGCAGGGGAGTGACCTGTGACCCAGGACAGTCAGGGGAGTGACCTGTGACCCAGGACAGGCAGGGGAGTGATCTGTGACCCAGGACAGGCAGGGGAGTGACTTTGACCCAGGACAGGCAGGGGAGTGACCTGTGACCCAGGACAGGCAGGGGAGTGACTTTGACCCAGGACAGGCAGGGGAGTGGCCTGTGACCCAGGACAGTCAGGGGAGTGACCTGTCACCCAGGACAGGCAGGGAAGGACCTGTCACCCAGGACAGGCAGGGGGAGGACCTTTGACCCCGGACAGGCAGGGGGAGGGCCTTTTGACCCCGGGACAGGCAGGGGGAGAGACCTTTTGACCCAAGACAGGCAGGGGGAGGGACCTTTGACCCCCGACAGGCAGGGGGGGGACCTGTGCCCCAGGACAGCCAGGGGAGGGACCTTTTACCCCGACAGGCGGGGGAG